ATGTTTTCAATCAAACAAGGTGTATTGTATGTTTTCAATCAAACAAGGTGTATTGTTTGTTTTCAAGATTAACTTCATTATTTTCTGTGTAATGTTTTCAAAACTTAACTCTCTGCCTCTTTAAGAATTTAATATTTTATGGTAACTGAACAGAATGTAGTAAGTTTTAAAGCTTAATTGATGTGTTTTCTAAAAAAATAATCCTGTTATGTAAATTAACTTTTAGATTTTCTCAGTACATAAGGAAATAAGTCTAGAAATTAAAACAAAGTATAATATTACACACCCGTGTCTTGCTCTTAACAGGGTGTAATATTACACACCTACATTTCTTACCCTGATGAACACAGTATAATATTACACACCTGTGTGTCTTTCCCTAAACAGAGTGTAACACCACACAGCTACGTGTTTTACCCTTATCAGAGTGTAATATATGTAAATCTAAATCCTTGCTATAGTCTGAACAAATTTCTTAACTAACTCCATGGGTAACCCCTGAACAGAATGTATTAGTTTTGAAATTAAATCCATGATTTTTTGTTTTTAACCTCATGTCTTTATTTTAACAGAGCTCTTGGGTGAAGACAGGTTCGTGTCAACTATGGAAAAACGGTCATCACTCTCAGCGGTATGATACACAATTAGAGTTGGAGCAAAAGGGCACAGAACAAAAGCTGGATAGCTCAGAACTAACATGTTATTACAGTACTGGCAAAAGAAAGAAGGTATTAGTACTTAAAATTTACCAATCAGAGCTTTGAGTCAAAAATGTGCTTACCATGCTCGAGAAACTGAGTGAAACTTTCTGTGTCAAAAATGTGCTTACCATACTCGAGAAATTGAGTGAAACTTTCTGTGTCAAAAATGTGCTTACCATACTTGAGAAATTGAGTGAAACTTTCTGTGTCAAAAATGTGCTTACCATTCTTGAGAAATTTAGTAAAACTTGCATGTTTGTGTAGAAAAAAAAACTATGATCGAGTAATACAGTTTTTCTAATGAATACATTTTATACATATAACTTTGTTTATGACTGTAGGTAGATAAATGTCGAAAGTGTCCTATCATTTTGTATTTGATGAGCTTCCAAAAGACCGTTATATAGTTTGTTTTTATTACTCAGAATTTTTCTTGTTTTTATACACACACACTGAAGTAATTTTCTTTTTGACCTAAAAAGCTTGTCATAAATCTGGAGGAGGTGATCGCTATTGTCAATCACAGTAATTTTCAGAAAAGGTTGCTGGTCATCTACACTGCTCGTCGAAATGAGCCAGTGAAACTTGTATTTCAGTCTGACCAAGAGCTGGAGGATTGGGTAAGAATTCTCGTTGATATTACAATTAAATAAGTTCATTACAAATGAACAGTATTTAAGCACATGTTTAGTGTATTTTTCAAGCTCTGTCATTGCATCTTGAAAGCACTATTATACAAACCTTGATATTTTCTTTGCAAAACATGTAGTCTGATTAGGAGCCAAGCCTTCTAAAAAAACAGTCTGATTAGGAGCCAAGCCTTCTAAAAAAAACAGCCTGATTAGGAGCCAAGCCTTCTAAAAAAACAGTCTGATTAGGAGCCAAGCCTTCTAAAAAAACACTCTGATTAGGAGCCAAGCCTTCTAAAAAAACACTCTGATTAGGAGCCAAGCCTTCTAAAAAAACACTCTGATTAGGAGCCAAGCCTT